ACTATTCAGTAGTGAGTTCGGTCAACTGATCTAAAAATTTAAAGATAGCAGGAGAGAAAATATACAATTAAAATACAACCAGCATAAGAAATTACATTGAATCAAACCAAAATCCAAAAGCATTCAAGGCAAAATCATTTTCAATGATTAGAAAAGCTTCACAAGCTCGTGTACTGTACTATTTGTGATGCGCCATTTAGTCATTGTGAATGAAGTTCTGGAACATATAACCCTATTGCACAATGTAAGGTTCATTTTATAAGGTTTAATAAGGAGCAATTACAAGTACGAGGGACCAAAATATAAGAATGAGATGAACAGCCAAAAACAAGAAAACTAGTTGTAACATTTGGCATAAGCATGGGGAGAAACGATGATAGAGTGATAATGACTTGTCCAACACCTTACCCAGCATAGCTTTAATGCTGCATTGAAACTATGCACTTTAATGCTGGGAATCGTTCTCCAAATGAATGTAAATGCCCTATCACTTTCTGGTGGAGCTTATCTCTAACATCTTATCATGAAAGTTGTGGAAGCAAGCAAATTTTGCACCACTCTCCTAGCAATTGGGTTGGCTGTGTAGGTTTTCAAAGCTATTGAAGCTTTCAGGTTTTTCATGCTCTTCTTTCATTAGTCAGACCTATTCTGAGTTCCCTGTTCTCATTATGTTTTTCACATTAGGTTTAATAGCCTTCTCCAGAGATCATAGGACAAGGCTCATTCTATGGTGAAAACAAAACTAGCACACACACATACAACAACATGGAAAAAATATATATAGTGTTAGCCTTCTTAATTAACCTAAATCACATGATACTAAATACGATTTAAACCTATACATTTAACTATGGAAACGACCTTCATTACATTGATAATTAGTTGAGGTCCAACAACCCCTGTCAAGCTTAACACTTGGCATTGCATGGCTTGTATTTTTAACATATGAATGTTATCAATAAACCCAACACATGAACCTAAAGCTGTCTCCAACACCCATATAATATATGAAATGGCACTTAATAGAGCAAAGCAGAAAAAAGAAGATTATGTAGCCGGCCGGCCTACAAGTATGAAATAAGACTTTATATTAAGTTTGAACTGAGCCCAATGAAACCAACAAGAACGTTGAAACACAAAAAATAATAATAATAAAATGTTAGGTAAAGAATGTGAGAGATGTTACTCTCTTACAAAAGGATCCTCAAAAAGGAATAGAAATTTAGCCAATCGGCATATCAAAAAGAAGAGAGGTAAACTGCCTGAGGAAATCTTACATTGACCAGGTAACAAGTAGTTTCCAGAGTGATGCATCCTTTGGGGTCAGATGTGCAGCAATCATATAGAAATTCAAGGCTCTCTTCTTATCACCCATTTCATTATAAATAAGACCAAGCGTATGGTATGGATCAGATAAATTAGGGGCAAGAAGAATTACTTCATTCAAAACACTGATAGCCTACAAACTCAAAACATAAAACATTCAGGGACGATAAAAAATGAGCATGAGTCAGAATAGACAATAATTCTGAAGAAGTACAACAACAGAATCTAACAAGCAGAGATGTTACGTTTAAAGTGTGCAAATTGACTGTTTCCAGAATTCGCAAAGGGGGAGATGAAAATGTGATACCAAAAAATATAAGATGCAATGATGGTA